GTGCACGCTGAGCTGGAGATGTCCGTAGACAGCTAAGGTACCCAAGGCAGGGTCTGCAGCTCCACCAAAGGGGAGAGCCTCCAACACCAGCCGGTTCCTCTGCCCCCAGGAGTCGTGAGAGCCCTCACCGGCGCCTTGCCGGGGCTGCTCCCACAGACAGCTGCCCTAGAGCCACAGCAGGATCTCTCGCCTCCCGCCCGCTCCTCCCGCCAGCCCTACAGTGGCTTTCGTGCCCACCAGCGCCACCTACTGACTGCTCAGGTCAGGCCTTCAGCAGTGTCTCCGTGAGTCCTGGTGCGGCCGGGCGCGTCCCCATTTTAGAGATGGGACAACTGAGGCCAAGAGAAGCAGGAGCCCTCCGGAATCCTGCCTTGCAGCTTCTCTCCGAAGAGCCCCTTTAGAGCAGCAGGTGGAAGGGGGGAGATGCCGGGAGACGCCTCATCCCCCTCTTGCCTTCTGTCAAGCCCTGCTGAGAGGTGGTGGGTCAGAGAAATCTGACCCACCCCTGCTAGATTCTCTCCCTCTGCTTGTGACACTCATAGCACGAGCCCACCTGTTAAGCCAACGAAGAGGTAATGATGGCGGTGGAGATCTTGATGGTCCCGCACTATTTCGTCTCACCCTCGGGACAACCTTGTGAGCTAGGTCTTCTCTCCTCTCCGTTTTCAGAGGAGGACAGTGCAGCACAGAGAGGTTCGGTCACATGACTCGTTCGCAGCGAAGCTGAGAGGCACACGCGGACAGTCGTGCCAGAACCTACTCGCTGACCGCCGCCGTCCCCGGCCTTTGGTCACGGAGGAGCCTGTCTTTGTGGCCCCCTCATCTGATACTCTTCGTCCACTCCCAAAGGGCCACACCGCCCCCCATCAATGATCAGTCTGGCTGCTCTGCCCCAGGAAGACACAGGGAGGAAACTGAGGGCCCTGAAGTGTGGGGCTGTCCGTGGGGCTGCAGGTGCCACTCAGGACACAGCCGAGGAGGGATCACCACGCCGCCGCGGGGGGCATAGGAATGTCCGATCGGCCGCCACCCCCCACCCAATGTTCCTGCTCCAATAGATCAGGCACGGCCCTGACCTCCTTCCCCTCGTGAACAACTGGCCCACCAGGAAACCGCGCTGTTAAAAAGCCGTGGCCCAAGAGCCTCAGCCGCTCCGGTGCCCGAGGGCCGGCCTCTGCCAAAAGGCTGATCCGCACAGCCTCATTCAGCTTTCCACATGCCCCACCAGAAGCCCCCGCTCCGTTTTACAGCCGAGCTGCTTCCTTAAAGCCTTCCGCCACGGGGGATGGAACCACGATCCCAACGGAGGCCTGTCCGAATCCACACGTACCCCCTCCCCAGCCCCACACACCGCGGCCTCCTCGGGAAAGGGTGCACCCGCAGCAAGAGCACCACCGCCCGGTGCCGGTTAATTGCTCGTAGTGTGGCCGCTAGAGTCCTGGGTCCCCAAGTTCCCCCACCCTGGGTCCACGCCTACGGCAATGTTACCCCTGAGACTGTGAACACGATGGCTTTCGCTCCCATGGTGAGGTTGGGTAGGATGGGCAATTAACTCGTTCGCTGTGATGTGGGGACATTCGTTAGCCAGGTGGGCCGGTAGGTCTGCTTTTAAAAGCAGAGGGTTGGGGCGCCTGGGTGGCTCAGTCGGTGGAGCGGCCGACTTCGGCTCAGGTCACGATCTCGCGGTCCGTGAGTTCGAGCCCCGCGTCGGGCTCTGTGCTGACAGCTCGGAGCCTGGAGCCCGTTTCGGATTCTGTGTCTCCCTCTCTCTGACCCTCCCCCATTCATGCTCTGTCTCTCTCTGTCTCAAAAATAAATAAAAAAACGTTAGGGGCGCCTGGGTGGCGCAGTCGGTGAAGCGTCCGACTTCAGCCAGGTCACGATCTCGCGGTCCGGGAGTTCGAGCCCCGCGTCGGGCTCTGGGCTGACGGCTCGGAGCCTGGAGCCTGGTTCCGATTCTGTGTCTCCCTCTCTCTCTGCGCCTCCCCCCGTTCATGCTCTGTCTCTCTCTGTCCCAAAAATAAATAAACGTTGAAAAAAAAAATTAAAAAAAAAAAAAGTTAAAAAAAAAAATTTAAAAGCGGAGGGTTTTCTCCAGAAAGGAAACGGGGACATCGGTCCTACAGCGGCAAGGACCTGAATCCGGACAACCTCCTCAATGAGCGTGGAACTGGGTTCTCCCCCAGAGCCTCCAAAAGGAGCGCGGCCTGCCTGGTGCCATGCTCTCGGCCACATGAGACCCTGAGCGGAGGACCCAGCTCAGCCGTGCCTGACTGCCGACCCACAGAGCTGTGCGCGAGTAGAACGTCGTTTCAAGCCCCTAAGCGCGGGGTGACCTGGAACGCAGCGTGGGTAACCGGTACAGATACGCGTTCAGGTGGCCTCCGGCGGGACCCTGGGGGTCCCAGTCAGGGAGGCCTTCCTTGGAGAGTTCCTGAGGCCTGAGTCGTCCCCGGGGTCAGGGCGGAGAGCTCCCGCGTGCAGAATCAGCAGGTGCCACGGGGCAGGCCCGAGCCGCGGCGGGAGGCGGGGAGACCGCGAACTGCCGCTCTGGGCCTCCTGTTCCTCGTCAGCAAAACAGGACTGACGCCGGTGAGCCGCGGCCGGGTAAAACAGGGAATGCGTCCAACGGTGCTTTGCTCAGGGCCTGGAGCTTGGTCAGGTGCTTGAGAAACCGTGGACGGGAATAGCGTGCCAATATTAACAATATTTGCCTCGTGAGTTTTACGCGGATGACCGAAGTGCCCAGGCAAAGTCCTGCAGCGGTAACAGTGACTCTGGCTTCTCTGCCTCCCTGGCCGGATCCCCAGTGGGACTCTCACTCCCAAGGGGCAATAGAGAAGCTGGCCTGGGGCCCCTCCCCCTGCCGGCTCCTGGGGCAAACGGGGACCCTGCCCATCTCCAGGGGAAGAGACCACACATTCATGTCCTCAAGAACCTTTCAGAGAGCTTAAGGAGGTGTTTCTTACACAGTAATAAAAGGCAAATTGTAGAAAACTTCAGAGAGCCTCCTTTTCTGCATCCGAGGACGAAATGTGACCTCGACGCCTGCACGGGAGACCAAAATGGACCAACCTGCTGTTTTCCATGAGCTCCGAGAGAGGCAGACTCAGAAGTGACGGCTGGCGTGAGACACAAAGTCGAGACACGGTCGTTCCGTGATATTTCCAGGGCGCCCGTCGCGGGCCACACCCGGGGCGGAGTCCTCTGGGCCTCTGGAACCTAGCAGAGGAGACAGACCCCAGCATACAGGTCGTTCACACCGTGGCGTGATCGGTGGCAAGCGCGGGACGGTCAGAGAGGCAGTGAGGGAAAGCACGCCAGGAAGAGAGGGAACAGCCCAGGCAAAGGTACAGAGGCTACAACAGACGTGGCGTGAAAGGAACCACAAGCTGTCCAGCATGAAAGGTGGGCCGCCTCCTTTGGGAAGGAGCCCCGGGCCTTGCCCTGGACGGGACTCCTGTCTCAGCTTCTGTCCCTTCCAAGACGGACCGTGATGATTACTTCACTGAAGGCGCTACTTTCCCGGCAAGCGGCCAGATGGGGCACCGGGACCGCGAAGCTGGTGACCGTGGGCTCACCTGGTGTGAGTCTGGCCCGCGCGGGTGTCTGAGTCCTTCAGGTGACCCCGAGCACTGTGGGTTTCAGGACATGTCACAGGGTCCTCCTGGCCCTTGAGAGGAGAAAGTTCGATGGCTTTGTCCAGTAGCCTTCATGATGTTTCCTCAAACGGACTTCAATTTCGATTTTAGACCGAGGTCAACACATGCAGAGCACACAGGCCACCGCTCTCCGTGTCTGCACTCGTGGCAGACATGACTAATAGATTGTAGAACCCTCAACCCAGTACTCAGATGAGTGATCTTCGGGGTCTGGTCCACCCTTCCCCGTGAGACGGACACCCAGCTCGGTCGTGAAGCCCGTGAGGGCCTGACTGCCCTCCCCCTCCTCCGGCCGCCGTTGGCCAAGACGCTTGGAAAACTGTAGAAGCCAGCATCGAGAGGGGAGGAGACAAACATCTCTCCCTCCCTCCCTCCCTCCCTCCCTCCCTTCCACGCGTGCGCACGCACACGCTCGCAGGAACACAAGACTGCACGTATCCCATCGTCAGAGACAAAGTCAAGGGCAAGCCGCGTGCTGGAGGGCAGTTGCAGTCCTGTTTGATGCTCTGTCCCAAGGCCTAGCTAGGACAGTGCCCGGCACACAGAAGTCACTCAATTAATAGTTGTTGAGCCAAGGGCATCTATGGGTCCGAGCTGTTTTCAGACCAATCGCACGGTCTCCGGGGCAGGTCACATCCCAGCCGCCTTGTGGGGGTCCCCTGGGTTATCATCTTTCTCCCCGAAAGGGGTGCAGCCTGAGAGACTGTGTTCTCATGAAGCAGCTGGTGAATTAGGGCCCGGAGAAGTTTCCCTGAAGTCTTTAACTCACCACTGAGATACGGTTCTAGATAAAGGCAGGGCGAGTGGGTCGGGGCGGTGAGAGTCTCGGGCGCTCACCCCCTCACCCCTGTCCCTTCCTCAGGGGAATTAATTGGTAGCAAAAAAGAGGACTTTAGGAAATAGCCGTGTTTAAAAGGCCCCTGCTTAATGTTCCCTTTAATTAGAATGGGTTTCACTTGACATTTTTTGCTGACCCGCCGGGGGAGGGAAGCCCCCGCCTGAGTGATTGCCCACTGACCCCGGGATTCCTGCGTCTCAGTTATGCCCCGTTCGTGGGCTCCCTCGGCAGAGTTCAAAAGAATGGCTTTTTCTACAGCAGAACAACAGCCAGAGCGCAAAGAGTCACTCCCCCTGGTCCGGACGCTTCTGTGGGAACCTGGGCCGGGACATTCCTCTGAAAGAAGAATGTGCACACGGGGGACCGCTGGGTCCCTGCCAAGCCCGGTCGTTCAACAGGCTCAACAGGCAGGGCCTGAGCCCTAGGGAAGCCAGGTTCCACACCGCGCCTGGGGATGGGGACGGGGGGGGGGGGGGGGGGGGGGGGGGGGGCGCCACGGTCGGCGTGCACCTGCCCCCGGGGCGCTCTCAGCCAGGCGGAGAGGTGGCCCCCCGTGCCGCGGCGACTCTCGCAAGGTGGGACACGACGTGAAAGGCCAAGTGCTGGGGGAGCCCAGGGGAGGCGCCTGACTCCAAGCCGGGGCAGGACAGGCCTTCACAGGGACAGCTCTGTCTAAGGTGGGACCTCGCATGAGTCAGGATGAGCGAGGCCGGGCTGCACTAACAAACAGGCTCCAGTCTGAGTGTCTCGACACGACAGAGTTCGGTTCTTTACTCTCGTCTCGGGCCAGCAAGGGTCTTCTTGGTGGGTCCCCTCGAGCAGCGACGCGGGGATCCACGTCTGTGGTGGGAGCGAGGCACCCGGTTCGAACTGCCTCGACCCGGATGGCATCTGGAGAGACCGAGGGCCGCAGTTCCAGGGAAGCTGAGGGAGGTTTCCCCTGAACCCAAGAAGAGGCAACGGAGTGAGACCCACAGAGCCCCAGGTCAAGCCGGAGGTGAGCAGGCAAGGGAGGGATGGGGGAGAGAGAAAGGAGAATGGGAAGAAGGAGTGAAGGCACCTTGTCCGCCACACCCGGGCTTACGGTCAGGCGGCGACAGGAGGAAGGCCCGAAGGCAGCCCCCGGACGGGGCTGGCTGCCGGGAGAGGCCAACCGTGTGACCGGAGGGGGGGGAGGAGGCTGGAGGTTGACTTCACCGCCAATGGCCAATGACTCGATCCATCACGCCTGTGGGAGGAGGCCTCCGTGGAAACCCCAAAAGGTCTGCGTTGGGGGAGCTTCCGGCCGGTGGACACACGGAGGCGTGGGGGAACTTTTCCCCTGACGGTGCGCAGAAACTCCGCGCCCCCCGCCCCGCCTCAGCTTTATGCCTCTCTCCCATTGGAGAGTTGCACCCCGTTCTTGAGTTCTGCCCTCTTGTACTAAACCAGGAATCTGGAAAGCGAACTCTTTGGGCTGAGTGAGTTCCATGAGCCTTTCTAGCAATTCTCAAGTGTCAGGAGGAGGCGGTGGGAACCTCTGATCTACAGCTGGCCGGTCGGAAGCACGGGTGACAGCCTGGGCTCGCAACAGGCATCTGAGTGGGGACAGTGTTGGGGGACCGGGCCCGTCCCCTGTGCAGTCCGGACAGGTAGACAGCAGCAGAACTGAGTTCATCTGTGGGACACCCAGCTGATGTCTGGAGAGCCCGACAATTGCTTGGTGTGGAGAAGGACCCGCACATCTCTCTGGTGGCCAGAGTGTTCTAGAAGGTTCTGAGAGTCGTGGCGAACAGAAGGGTCTGGGTGGCCAGAAGTGAAGTTCTGAGAGTGGAATTTAGGAACACAGAAGAGCCGCTTCAGCACTTCCGGTGCGGTGTTTCAACTCACTTACATAAAGTGCAGCGAAGGTCTTCTGAGGGGGAGCCCTGAGGTTGGGGCCCGGGGATGGGAAGCAGCCAGCGATGTGGGAAATGGAGCGAAGGGCATTCCGGGCAGGGGGAGCAGTAAGTACAAAGGCCCTGGGGCAGGAAAGGATCCAGGTTGTCGGAGGCACGGGAAAGAATGCAGCGAGGCTGGTGTACCAGGAGCCGCGGGGGGAGGGACGTCCAGAGAGGCCACTGCAGCAGTTAAGATTCGGGGCCTTAAAAGGCTCTACGAGAAGGGTAGGGTGCAGGCAGCGACAGCACTGAGTTCCCCCGGGTGGCGGTGGGTTGGGAGCGGGAGACACGGAGCAGGGAGGGGTGGCCTGGCTTAGGTGAGGAGCTGGGTGCGGGCAGTGAGGCCCGGGGACGTTGACGGTGGACTCCGGCCTGCCACCTGGGCAGAGACAGTGGTGCGTTTGCGGAGCAGGGAAGGCAGGACAGGAGCGGGGTGCGGCGAGGGCACCCCCAGTGCACGGACAAAGGCACCAAGGCTCAGAGCGGGGAGCAAAGCCAGGAAAGCTCCCCGTGTACTTGGCATGTGTCGAGTGCGCCCCCGGCCTCGACGTGTCCGGTCGGCACAACAACCCCAGAAAACGGTGAGGAGGGTGATATCCCCATTTTACAGAGTGAGAAAGTGAGGCACCGAGCAATTCGACGAGGTCCCGGGGCCACCTGAGAGGCCAGTGGCTGGCCCGAGGTTCGACCCAGCCCATCTGACCTCACAGCCCCTGCAGTCACGCCCCAGGTGACACGGCCACCAGGCTGGACGCGAAACGGCCGCCGGCCTTCCTGACGCGGGGTGCCTCAAGGACAGTCGGAATTGCAAAGCCTCTAGCCGCCAGGGAAGGTACCGGCTCACGTCGGAAATTACGCCTTGCGTGAAACCGGGGTCGAACCGCGCCCTGGCTGTCGCCCGCTGGCATTCCCGGGCACGAGACCTCTCAGCCTGGTCCCCGGGGCTTGTCAGCGGAATCACCACGCCTGGAATGTAGGACCCGCTGCCTTATCTCAGAAGACGGGTGCTAATTAAAATATCCTGTGCCACCATGTGGAAACTACAGACGGGCCCCCACAGCCGGCCCCCTGCTGAGTGGCACAGCCGTGGCCCTGGAGGGCCCTGGAGGTCAGACTGGGAAGAGCGGACCCCACCAGTTGAGTCCGGTCATCGCACGTGAGCCCTACGGCTGCCCTGCAAGCGACTCACTGTCTCCATCCTGCAGACGAGGAGATGGGGTCCCAAAGCGGGAAAGCCACCGGCCTGAGGCCACCCGACCAGCGCGCGGCACAGCCAGCCACAAACCCAGAGGCGTGGACTCTATTCACCTCTTCCGCAAATACATCTCGAGTCTGGCTTGTTCAGAGCCAGGTTCCGGCACAGGGGCTGGGAATGAATAAATTTAAAAAAATGACTATGCTTGACCTCAGTGACCTCGTGGTCAGGGCAAAGGAGCGTAAGAGACCCTCCACTCCGGAATATTCTTCAGCCTCAAAGAAGAGGAAGATGCTCACCCCCGCTACAGCAGGGACAGACCTAAAGGGCGCAATGCTGAGTGACACGGGGCCGACACGCATGGTCCCACTCACGTGAGGGCCCTGGGGTCTCCAGATGCGCAAGACAGAGAAAGTGGACGGTGGGCATCGGGGGAGGGGGCGCGGGCGTTAGCGTTCACGGGACAGAGTTTCAGCTTGGGAAGGTGGAACGTTCTGGCTAGGGATGGTGGGGACGGCGACACAGCGGTGTGAACATAGCACTACTAACCACACGCTTAAGAAGATGACTTAGACGCTACATTTTGTATTACGTGCATTTTTTCGTGGTTAACCTTTCCTTAATCAATTTTTTTTTTATTTTTAAAAAAAAAAATTTTTTTTTACGTTTATTTATTTTTGAGGCAGAGAGAGATAGAGCATGAATGGGGGAGAGTCAGAGAGAGAGGGAGACACAGAATCCGAAACGGGCTCCAGGCTCTGAGCTGTCGGCACAGAGCCCGACGCGGGGCTCGAACTCACGGACCGTGAGATCATGACCTGAGCCAAAGTTGGACGCTTAGCCGACTGAGCCACCCAGGCGCCCCTCCTTAATCAATTTTTGAAAAAGAAACGATTCACTTCGTTCATTGGTTCTACAGCTGTGACTAAGGGCCTTGGTGCCCCCGTTGGCACTGGGCCCGGGGGATTCGCGCGTGTGTGTGTGTGTGTGTGTGTGTGAGGGCACACATCCCCGACCGAGAAGGTGCCCGTGCTGGTAGGGTGCTCCCCCGCTCCTTGGCCGATGACCCCAGCTGCGGGGGAAGCCGGGCACGGGGCGGGATGCTTTACAAACACCTCCCGTCCGGTGCTCTAGGGGAAGCCATGATGATCCTGTCTTGCCCAGGAGGAAACTGAGGCTCAAAATGAGTAACAGGAGAGCACCATCCCCACCTCCTATACTGGCGCTCTCTTGCTTCGTAACATGTCACCCCAAACTCACCGGCCGAAAACGACACGTACTTATCGTGACCCACAGTTCCTGCCGGTCAGAGACCCAGGGGCAGCCGGGCCAGGTGGTTCCGGATCGGCACCTCTCACGAGGCCGTCGGGCTGGGCTCATATGAGGCCTGACGAGGGCTGGAGGGTCCACCTCCAGGACGCCACACTGGCCTGTTTCTCAGCGCGGGGACCCGTCCACAGGGCCGCAGGGGTGTCCTCACAGCATGGCGGGCGTCTTCCCCCAGAGCGAGTGGTTGAAGAAAGCAGGAAAGAAACCGCAGGCCTTCTGCAACACGGCCTCGGGGGTCGTCCTCCCTCACTTCCACACAGCCTCCTATCGGTTACAAAGTGAGCATGTTGAGGGGGTAAGGAGGTCCCTGAGGGAGGGAAGAGCGAGAGCTGAGGCTCATTGGAGGCCATCTTGAACCGGCGGCCGCCCCCGGCCTGTGGGGCTCTCCTGAGCTGCAACCGGGCCAGTGGTCATCCACACTGCGGTCTCTGGCATCCGAGGACACTTCGGAGACAGCCGGGCCCTGGCAGAGGTGGAGGCTGTCCCAGAGAGGCAGCCGCGGAAACACAAGGGGTGGGTGGGCCCGGGGGCATCCTCCTCAGACACGCACACAGAGGGGACCTAGGGACGGGGTGGCCCTGGGGGACGGCCGCATTCCCGGCCGGGGCAGCAAGACCCGGATGTTGGTGCCAGATCTGACACGTGTCCACGGGGGGGCGTGACCTTGCGTAAGCCCCCCACGCCCGCCCTGGGCCTCGGTCTCCCCCCAGGAAGCGGGGTGGTTGGTTGGTTCTCCCACGCGGGACAGAGAATACAGCCGCGTGTGTCGGGGCCATCCCGCTGACGACAAGGGCTCCGGACAAATGTTCCCCATTCCAACAGGACAGTCACGGCGACGTGGAACCGGAAATAGGGCAGGGGACGCAGGCCTCGGCGGGGGGGAGGCGTGGATGAATGAAAAGCTGCAGAAGCAGGTCGTCTGTCGTGAGCCTGTGTCCTGTCGCGGCCGCCGTTTGCCCGAAGCACGGACCCCGGCAGCCGGGCAGCACCAGGGCGGCGTGGGTGCTGATAAAGTAGGCTGATCGCAGCCACGACGTGTCCTGCTTCCCGTGGGCGCCCCCCCCCACCCGCCGTGGCCGCGGCTCAGAGCAGGTACCGCTGGGCCTCCTCACGCTCCAGGAGCCTCAGACGGGGTGCTCGAGGTCCCGCAGCTAATGAACAGGGGACCCAAAGCCCGTGCTTCCTGACCCCCGCGCCCTCTGACCTCCCAGGCAAGGAAGGCGGCACGGGGCTGAAATTGTTTACTCCCGACCCACGGAGCCTTTGCCACGTCACCCGGAATTCACAGCAGCCTTGCTCGAGCCAACGTACGACTTGAGGTCAGTGCTGGGGATTGGAGGGATGGGGCGGGGGGGTTGCAGGTGGATCAGTGGGCGCACAGAAGGACCACTCCGCGGGCGGAGGAGGGCTAAGCGGGTGGACGGACAGGCGGCCCGGTGGGGGCTGGTGCCCGTGTGCCGGCCGGTGGATAACTCGAAGGGACGGCCGGATAAGTGCCAGAGGAGGACGGTAAATGTTGGCTAGAAGTGGGGACAGATGGACAGACAGGTCCAGAGGTAGGTGGGCGGAGGAATCAATGGGTGGGCAGGGCTGATCGTGGGCCTGACTCCCTGTTCCTGCAGCTGGGAGCTAGGGGACAGAGGGAGGTTGGCTGAGGAGGGACCTGTCAGGGACCTGCCCTCAGGCACCTGTCATTCATGCACACGAGCTCTGAGACTGCAGTGCAAGTGGCTCCTGGAACCTGGCCGGCGAACGGGGTCACAGTGGTCACACTGGTTTCGTGGCTGGGGGCCCAGAGATGGGGAGAGCTTCTCCCGCAGCCACACAGCCAGGACCAACCCCAGGGCTCCACCCTAGGTCCAGGCCTCTCGGCTCTGACCATCATCTGGGCTCCGGCAACTTCGGCCCGCCCTGAACAGCCTGCATCATGCCCCCTCGACCCGGCCTCACCCCAGGCTCTGAGGAGCCCCCAGAACCAGCACGATGGTGCCCCGATGTGCGGCCCCGGGTTTGGGGGGACCGGCCGAGGCCGGGTGCCCGTGAGAGAGCCGTGTGGTTCTTCCAGGGGTCCCCTGAGACCTGATGGTCCTCTAAGCCCTGGGGAGCCCCAGGAGCCTCTGTCCCTGGGAGCGGGGGTGACAACTTGATTCTCCAGCAGTGGCTTCTCCCCCACACCTGCTGTGCGTCAGGCACCGGACCCGGAGCCGAGGGCAGGGAGGTTCTTGTCTGCACCCCCGAGAGCCCCAAGCCCGCAAACAGCAGGCACTCAATCAGTGTCGCTCAAGAGGAGAGACAGTCCTGTCTTCCAGGGGCTGCCGCCCAGGCACATTTCTCCGAGTGTCTCGGAAAGAAGCGAGCCACACACGGCCCTGGCCTAGGGATCTGGTCTTTCCATCCACTCCTTGAGAAGTGGGTGTTCGTGGGTGGCACAGGTGCTTGGTCTCAGCTACCCTGATTTTGAGAGAAAGCCAGGCCGCTCTGGACCAGAGACCTCCACAAGTGGGGCCAAAACAGAAACCGGGGAACCCAGGGTGCATCCTTCCAGGGCCTTCACCCCACGGCTGGGCGTGCCGACCTATCGCCTTCTGGCACGTTCCCCATGGGTCGGTCTGGGACCCACTCACCCATGTGGCAGATGGAACCCTAGGTCGCTGCTAATGAGAACGCTGGCTGTGATGGGGGGCACCCGGCACCCCACAGGGCCACTGACCTGTTCCCATCCTAGCCCCGGGAGCACGCCTGGCACACGGTGGGGCTCCAGCAAAGTTTGCGGAGTGAGCGCGTGACCTGACCCAGGAGAGCCGAGAGGCTTTGGACACAGAGGAGCCCGCGTCCAAACCCCAGCTCTCCCTTTAATGGTCCGTGCGACCTGAGGCGACCCGCTTAACCTCGGTGGGTCTCAGTTTCCCACGCTGTGAGATGAAGTTCGTCACGTTCACTTAGCAGGAGCCTCGTGAGGATTCGGCAAGGATGTTTGCAAAACTCGGGGCGCCTGGTAGGCGGGTGCTCGGCGGGGGTGCGCCTGCCGGCCCCTCCCCCAGGCAGTGGGGCCGCCTCTCACCTGTGGGTGGCTGAGGCCCCGCCCCCTCGCAGCCCCAGCCGAGCAGGTGACTGCACGGGCCCTGGGAGCGTGGGAACTTCCTGCCGCCCTGTTTGTCTTGGGCGCCTGGGAGGGGCGGCCACCCTCCGTCCGCTCCAGCACGCTCCTGCCAGATCACCCAGCGTGAAAGGGAGGAATTGTTCCCGCGACCTTTGCTTGCCTTGTCAAAGGCGATTTCGGCAAGTGCCGTCTCTCTTGCCTGAAGGCCGGGCCAGCCCTGGTTCCCCTCTCCCAAAGGGACTGAAAGGGCCCTCTTGGCACCTGGGGGAAGTAAGGGCCCCGGGGGAACCTATAGGAAACACCATCCACGCCTGCCAGCAGGAGCGAGGCCTCACCCCCTTCTATGCCCGCTGCCTGAGCCACCTGCCAGCCAGTGCCCCTTCCCCGTCCCACTAACCACCCCCCAACTCCTTCCTGGTCTTCCCTCCCCTCGGCACCCCCCAGGACCCAGAATAGGACCCAGCCCAGCGTCAGAGGCTCAATCGAGCTCCCCCGCCCAGCTGAGACACCCCCCCTCGCCCCGTACGGAGAGCAAGGCTCCCCCTCTTCCTCTCACTTCTACCTAACCCTGCCTTGGGAGGGTGTCCCCCCGTGCCGGTCTCTGCAGGTGGACCACAGGTCCCTACACCAGCTTCTAACCACTGTCTCGGCCTCCTCTGCCCCCTGGTCACGTGGCCAGCCCACCGCCCACCTGCCCTGCTTTGGCATGGCTGGTGACCCCAGGGGGTGACCCCAGCAGCCGTGGAACCCTGGCTACGTCCGTCACACGGTGGCCCCGCAGGCAGCGCAGCTGGGGTTAAGGGCAGCCTGGGATCACGGAGGCCCCATTTCCGATTTTCCAGAAGATGCCAATCATTAATGATCATTGTTCTTTCCTTCTGGGGCATGAAAAAGCAGGTTCAGCTCACAACCGGAAAAGCAGCGGGTCAAGGTTCCCAGAGGATGAAATGTCAGCCTCCGGCGGCAGTGACATTCACCCAGAAGCACTAAAAATAGACTCGAAGACAGAAGCATCGAGTCTCTGGAGGCTGGAGGCATAAGGTGAGCTTAGGGCAGAAACGGCACTTGCCAATTATGTCTGTGGCCGCACGGCGAGGCAAGGATTTTCCTTGGTTTTGTTTTATCTCCCTTAAGAGACAGAAAGAAAGTAACCTTAGGAAGGGTCCACCTAGAAGGACGTGGCTCTAAGTATGACTTTACCGTATGTAAAAATTCGGATAGAACGGAAACAGGGCAGACCCAGCCTGGAGGGAGATGTGACCACGGCAAGTCGGGGGCCTGGCAGAACTCACCCATTTGGCCCCAGGAGGGCAGAATGCCCCCCCCCCCCAGCTCCGGCGGACTGGCCGTGGTAGCCTGACTGAGGCCAGCACAGTCCAAGAGGACTTTGGTGGTGGTGGCAATGTTCTCGATCTGCTTGTCCGGCACAGAGCCGCAAGCCGCATCTAGGTATATATCAAGGGCTTGAAACGTGGCCGTTACAGTCGAGCCACAGAGTTGTTAATTGTATTTCGTTTTAGTTGACTTAGATCTAAAAAGCCATATTTGAATGGTGGCTGGTGGCTACCCTATTGGACGGCATGGTTTTAGGCTTTAGGGGAAGGAGAGCTCCAATTGATTGGCAATGTCTGCCAGGGACAAAGGATTGGAGAGTAAAGGCCTGAAATACTGCATGACCAAATGACCAGGGATCTGGAGAGATCCAGGCAACCTGAGGCCTAAACCATGGATTCTGGCACCTGGATAGTTTTGACATTTAAGAGAGGAAAAAAAAAAAAATAACTGTAAGGTTTAGTGCTGCACCCCCTCGTCATTTAGTCTCATGGTCTTTCCTAGAGGCAACCACAATCCTTTTAACATGGTCTCCCTCCCTTTGGGACCCCATTTCCAACCTTCCTAACCCTTCTCTACACAGCAGCCAGAAAGGTCCTTCCCAAACACCAATCCAACTACACTCTACCCTGCTCAAAACCTTACATCACTTCTCCCCACCATGGCCATCAAGACCCTGCCCTACAAGGCCTCTCTGGCCTCATTCCCTTTCACTCTTCATCCTAGCATAGACCGCCCTGAGGCCCGCCGCTCTCTTTCTGCCTCACTGCCCAGGAAGCCCCAAAGGGAAGGCTCTTGGCCCATCTCGGCACCCTCCACCCAAAGCACGCTTCTAGAATAGCTCCCGCTGGAAACATAATGTGATTCCAGGAACTCCCATGTATGTTCTTGTGTTGTGCCCTCAAAATAATAAGGCAAGTACCACCATCGCCCTGTTTCGCAGATGAGGAAACTGGGACTCAAAGAAGGGAAGCATTTGGCGAAAGACACAAGAGAAAATGGCAGACCTGAGGCTCAGACAGGAGCAGATGACCATCTGAAACGTTGCTTGCATGGAGAAATCTGCTTCAACATGGCGGCTGTGCTGAGAATGGAAACCAGGTTCCAGAACTTCTAGTGCAGAATTTCTTCTACTGCTAATTCAATACATGCTAGAGGAAGAAAAGGATGGATGGATGCATGCATGCATGCATGGATGGATGAGTGGGTGGATGGAAGGATGTTGGATGGATAATGAATGATGGATGGATGGATGGATGGATGGATGGATGGGTTGGTGGATGGATGAGTGGATGATGGTTGGATGGATGAGTTGATGGGCGAGTGGATAGATGAATGATGGATGGATGGATGAATGGGTTGGTGGATGGATGAGTGGATGATGGTTGGATGGATGAGTTGATGGGCGAGTGGATAGATGAATGATGGATGGATGGATGGATGGATGGGTTGGTGGATGGATGAGTGGATGATGGTTGGATGGATGAGTTCATGGGTGAGTGGATAGATGAGTGATGGATGGATGGATGGATGGATGAGTGGGTTGGTGGATGGATGAGTAGATGATGGTTGGATGGATGAGTTGATGGGCGAGTGGATAGATGAATGATGGATGGATGGAGAGCTAGCTAGACGTGTGGACAGATGGACGAATTGGTGGACAGGTGAGTGGGTGGATAGGTGGATGTGTGATGGAGAGATGCATACACGCATCCATGTATGAATGAACAAAAAGGACGGCAAGACACGGTAAAAGGTCACGACCAGGGAACTGGACAACAGTCCACCTTTTTCCTAACCATTTTTCAGGTGTATCAAAAAATGAGGCCCTGCAAAAACTTCTCTGAGGCTTCTCTTTTTAAGGAAATAAAATGCATCGTAAGCTGCATGTGTGTCAAGAAAGCCCTGGGCTGTGCCAGGGCCTGCTTCCCTCTCTCCTCCTGTCCTGCCACCACCCCGCCCTCCTCCCCCCCCACCCCTTCTGGCTCATCGAGCTCCTCCCTAACTCAGCTTTCCCAAGGGAAGGCTGAGAAACAATAGCAATTTCTTCTGAATGGAACCATCCCCTGAGCCAAAGAGTAAACACGAGAGCGAGAGCGAGGGAAGAGCTGAGTCTGTGTGTAGCCGCTCCAGTGATGATTACATAAGCGGACATACCTGGGAGAGGCGCTGATCCAGGGGATTTTAACAGGCCGGGGTGGGGGGTGGGGGGGCTGGCGGGGGAGGAGGGCAACGGCACACCCAGCGCAGGGATAGCTGTGCAGATACCCAGGCTTGCTGGGAACGGGAGCCAGGTCGGTCTGGGAGGGAAGAAATTCAAGAGCTTGAGGCTGTTCTTACACTAAGACCCTTGCATGATGGGGTTTTTTTTCTTTTTTATCTGCACAACAGCACCGCCAGGTAGGTACAGTTATATTCTCTTTTATACATGAAAAAACAGAAATGAGACACAGAGAGGTGCTGCCCTTAACCAAAGTCACACAGCTATTGTGGCAGAGCTGGGATAGAGCCCTAGTCTGGCTCCAGAGGCGGTGGGCTGATCGAGCTGCCCGGCCGCCCCCTCTTCTTTCTCTCTCCATCCCTCCCTGCCCCCCCTCCTGCCCTCCTGCTTGTCCGTTAAATCACACGTCCATTTATTCTTCCATTTGTCCATCTGTCCATCTACCCACTCAGCCCCCCAGCGGCTCATCCTTCCCCTCAGTCCTGGGCCAAGGAAAATGCAGACTCCGCCTGTTGGGCCCCTTCTGCATGTGGGGGACACAGGAGGAAATTTACAGTGGTTTCCTCCTTTAGTCTACAAGGTGACAGCCAGGTCAGGGTCACTCTCCCCTGTGGCAGATGATGAAACAGGTCTACAGAGCCTCAGGAGCCTCGGCCTTGGGACTTGGGGTTCAGGGAGGGCTTCTCAGAGGAGGCAACCCAAGCAGGTGAGGGCAGGACACCCTGAGTTCCTCCAGCAGAGGTGGAAAGGGTCGGTGCGCTTCTGGTACTGAGAGCCGTGTGATGGACGGGAGGCGGTTAGGAGGATGGGGTCCACCGTAGCCTGGTCACCCCACCACACAGAGCGGCTGCCAGACTCAGAGCTCCCAGGGGTGAGGGGGCCAGGGAAGGGTTCACCTGCGCCAGGCTGAGGATAGACAGCCCAGAGCAGTGGCCTCAGCCTTCCAGAATCTTCCAAGTGACCTGGAACGAGCATGTCTCATCTCTGGACCCCAAGCGTCCCATCTGTAACGAGACGATGGGGGACTCTGTGAGAGGCCTGCTGGGCACTCGTGAGCCTGAAGATGTGCATCCCTCCAGAGGGGCCGCAAAGACAGCCAGGAGCCCAGTTAGCAGGTGAGGCCTTGTACCCGGGCCATCCGGGGCTCCCAGGACCAAACAGATGACCCCCAGGGATGGGCCCCAGTGTACAAGCCGCATCATGAAGGGGCACACAAGGGCTGCTGAGAGCCATGCTGCCATTACATAAGCCACCTACCCGGCCACCACTGGCCAGCTGTGTTACCGGGTAAATAGAGTCCTATATTTACCTATGATGGGAGAGGGACAGGTCTGCCTGGTGATTAGGGCAAAGATGAGCTCAGAGGCCTTCAGCTCTGATTTCTGTTATGCTCCCTGCACACCTCCATGCCCAGCATCTGGGTACCTGCCAGGGCATACCGGCAGAGGGGGCAGTGGGAGGCTGCATCCTAGGAGTGCGGGGCCGTGGGTCTTCGGGTTGCAGGCTTGGCCAGGGAAGCAGGGCTGCCCTCACAAGTGGCAGGAGGCCAGGCCAAGACCAAACGAGGATGACAAGCTTCCAGTGGTCCCCAATGGCCCCAAAGACCTCCCTGGTGTTGGCACCGGTCAGCTGCACTGGAAGGACAGGTGCCATCTGCACGGGGTGAAAAAGAGCTCAGAGACTATGACATCACTCTGCACTCTGCCATTACGGCAGCTTCATGTGGCATTATCTGTCCATGAATACTTGGCTGGATCGGTGTGTGGATGGGTGGATGGACAGTGGGATAATTAGCAGACCACAGATGGACAACTGGATAAAGGAGTGCCACCTTTATGAGTGGGGTGGGAAGATGGAAGGGTGGATTGGTGGTTAGATGGATGGATGACCTATCAGCAGGTAGACTGATTCATGGAATAGTAGGCAGAAAGGTAGATGAATGGGTGGATGATTAAAAGGGTTATGCGTGACTGGATGGATGGCTGGATGGATAGATGGATAATGGATGGACGGATGGATGGATGGATGGAAGGACGGATGGAAGGATGGGTGGATGGATGATGAATGGAGGGATGATGGAAGGATGGATAGAAGGATGGGTGGATGGATGATGGATGGATAGATGATGGATGAATGGATGATGGAAGGATGGATGGATGGATGGATGGACGGATGGATGGAAGGATGGGTGGAAGGATGATGGATGGATGGATGGATGGAAGGATGGGTGGATGCA